AGATGCAGAGGAGAGTGAGAGAGAGAGATCGCATTATGCCTCTGCGAATTTAGATTTAGCGTGTATAGGTCTGAGCCTGTGTGCTTTGGGTTCCAGGTTTCGTCGGGTGTTTTTCCGGCGTAGTCTACTCCTGGCAAGTGCCCGCAGGTGACCGGGCTTTCAACCCAGCTTAATCCGGCTTAGCTACCCTCCGAGAGTTGGCAGGAACCATAGGGTTTAGGGTTCAGGGTTNNCAGGGTTTAGGGTTTAGGGAAGACATTTCAGAGGATCCGAAGTGTAGGGGCCCTGTTTCGTTTTTTCGGTTTAGAAAGTTTAGAATGTCAAGATCCCCGCCGGTGATGCCCATGTCGTTTTGAGCAGGAAAGCCTGAAGCCCCGAAAGTGGCGTTTATTTCCTGCAAGCGCTGCAAGGAAGCCCCTCCGTCTTGTCCCGGTAGCACTGGCCCCTCAGAAGCTTTGAATTGTGACTTGGCGTGCTGCATCTAACATAGTGTATAGCTTCTTCCATATTCTGCAAGCACGTGAGTGAAGCCTTGTTTGCAGTCAGGTCAATGGTGTCCATGCTCACAGGCCTCTCGCATGGGGGGCCGGCGGACGAGTGTCAGTGCCTTGACTTGTTATTCCTCCATGCTGCTATTCCTACTTTCGCCTGCTGCTCCTACTCTTCCTCTTCCTCCTCCGCCTACTACTACAACCACTACTGCTACGACTTCCACCACGAATACCACCGCCACCCCCATCCCCACCCTCACCACCAGCACCAGCACTAGCACCACCACCAGAACCACCGCGACAAACAAAATCTGCCCCACTGTTGCCGCCACTGCCACTGCCAATACCATTGCTACTCCTTGTTGCTCGGCGACGACGACGTGCTACCCCTTCTGCTACTGCTAGTCTTACTCTTACTTACGTAGACTCCTACTCACCTAGTGTTACTACTGTTGCCACTGCAAAACTCTCTATTATGATCCTCGATCCCCCTGTCGGTGTTTCTTTTGGATTGAATAGTTCGGCGGGGTCTGACATGCTTCCCGCCCATCCGACCTTAGAGATCCCAGGCATCGTGGCTGACACTCTGTTCGAGATCGCGGACGTCGACGACGACGGCAGCCTCAATTTTCCAGAGTTTGTGGCTGTCTCCCGGCAGCATTGCATGAGAAGCGAGTCCTGCAACCTGTGACGTTCTAGGTTTGAGTTCGGTGTGTGCGATCCCGACCACGCAGTGTCATCCGTATCCACCCAAAAACATGCGTTCCGGCAGCCTCTATACCTTCTGCATTATCGCACCGCTGGCGCGCATCCCTGGCATGGAAGACCTTTGCTGCGGGAACCTCACGTGCCAGTACTATTATCACACAGGCGAACCGGTATGTTGGTAGACGAAGGGTTTTTTGTGGCGACTTTCCGGCTTGCGCCCTCGAAAGCGGCGTGATGCCTGCAAGACAAACACGGAAGGGCGAAGCTCAACTCAGATGATATAGAGGTCTTAATAATTTCCGATACCATTCTGGGGGCTCCTTACTATAATGATAGTATAATACACCCCCCAAAACCCTATTCTAATCATAAAGGCCCCGATAGCAGCCAGAGAGCGAGAGTGCCTGCTCTGAATCAGGTCACGTTCGACTGGTCCTCCTTGGACAAGAAAGCGCTTCATCAAACGCTGAAGCGCCTCTTCGACCAAATGGACAAAAACCATGACCAGAAGGCTGGTACTAGTACCTGTGGTTAAGGGTTCGGAGTTCAGAGTCTTGTGATTTAGGGCTGAGGGTTCATAGATCAGGCATCAATAGTTAGGGCATGTTGAGGGTTTGATTGCGCTCCCGAAGGGGCCCGAAGATGCGTTGAGTCTGTGTATGTGTGTGATTGTGTGTGTGTGTGTGTGTCTCTGTTTGCGTGTCTGCATGTATGTATGTGCTAACGTGCGTTGGTAGGGGTGTCCGCATGATTGCGCGTGCACATATTTATGTGCGCGTGTGCGTGCTGCATGTATCTCGTTTGATTGTATGCGTTTGGTGATACGGTGGATGGAGGAAATCTTGCACCTCCTACATATTCGAATTCGGGTACGCCTCCAAGCAACGACCCCGCACTCCCTGTACATTTTGACGATTGACCTGAGCGGGGCTGTGCAACATTTACTGCGTTCTCCAATACCCGACCTTAAAACTTTTTGGCTTCTTATGATTTAGTAACAATCCGAAAGTTTAACCTTTGATTTCCTTGGCTCATTGGGGAAGCAAGTTTATGACATTGGCACGATTTTGCAAAGCCCCGTGTTCATAGCAATGTTCAGAAGAGGGTGGGGGGGCGAAGCTGCTTATCAGGTAACGTATCTTAAAAGCAGTGCAAGATTTCCTCCATCCGTCATAGGGTTTTGTTCGTTGTGTCTCATCCTTGGCAGTTGCCACGGCACAGGACTTTATCCCTGCAGACTGGTTGGAAACGGTTCAGGCATGCAGAGCTGTCATGAACCAGGTTCTAGGAGTCTAGGTTTTAGCTGATCCGAAGGCGAATTCTGCGCGCAGATTTCAGGGCTTTGCTCTGTGCAACCACCAAGCCCGGAAAGCTGTACACCTACTATAGGGGCCTCAATGATTACCAATACTATTTTGGGGGTTCCTGATTGTAGTTATAGTAGAATAGACCCCAAACCCTATTCTAAATATTAAGGCTCCTACATTACTGCATGTTCCGCTGTCCGGATGGAGGCCTTGGGGTCTTGGGCTGAACGGGAGTGAGCTAGCGTCGCTTCTTTAATACTCGACTCGAAACCAATTAGTTTGAATCAGATGTGGCTTAGGGTTTAGGGTTTAGGGTATAGTTTTGAATCAGATGTGACTTAGGGTTTAGAATTCAACCTACATGCTGAAGCCTATGCGCGGTTATGTTGGCCAACCTACCTGGGTCCCAGAAAAAAAAACTTTCAAAATGCAAGCCAACACACACGAAATCCTGAAGCCGATGTGGACTCCACACTCCCTCCAAACCCTAAACCCTAAACCCTAAACCCTAAACCCTAAACCCTAAACCCTAAACCCTTCGCGAAAACCCCAAACCCGAGCCCTCCTAAGCCCGGTTTCTTTGTCATAGTTGGGTAACATTTTACATTTTTAAGGGTACTTAAACCTAATAAGGAATAGAAATTTAGATTTTTAATACTACCCCAACCATGAACTAGGTTTAGGGTTTAGGGTTTAGGATTTTTGCACTGCAGCCCCTCCTCAAAAAAAGGGTTTAGGGTTTTAGGGCTTGGTTTTGGGTTTAACCTAAACCCAAAACTCATGCCACCGGAGGTCAGTTACGAAGAGCTGGCGGGCATTTTTCAAGGAGCGTTAAGCACAGAGGAGGTGAAAAGGGCGTTCTCCAGGCCCCTCCGATTGAAAGAAGGGCAGGTTTGAATTGTTTTATGTAGCTGGGTAGCTAGTATCCGTCGTGGGCTTACTATAACCCGAGCATCGGAACAGAGATCACATTACCGTTCTTGTGCCCCGGGACTCAATGGGCCGTCGTCAGGATTCCAAGCTTCAAGATGGGCCCAAAACCCTACTCTAATTATTAAGGCCCCTACATTATATCACAGGTGGGTCCCGGGTGAAAGATGTTTGCAGCTTTCTGCCTTACAATCGAGTTCTGGATCATGTCAAGTTCAAGTTATTGCATAGTATCAGAATCTTATGTATAGGGTCGCAGAACGAGACTCGGGAGACTCTGGCTGAATCGGAATCCCAAATCGCCTGACACACGCAGGAGTTAATGGGAGTCTCCCCTTGCAAGCCGGAAACATTGCTTGAAAAAGTCTTGAACACGGTCCTGCGTGGAAAGGGAGCGATCGTCACTCTTCTTCAGCCTTGGCTTTGGCATGCGGGAATGTTCAGATACCCTCTTGTTTGTGTCGGGCATGGGGCGGTCGAAGCAGAGCATGGGAAAGAAGCGAGTGACGATCTCGGCCTTAGGATGAGGGGGATTGAGGCAGCACATCGGGGGGCGACTCGCGGGGGGCGTTCTCTTGGAGTTTCGTTGTACTGGGTACTATGCATATATTCTGCCATTAAGCTTCGGGTGCCTGACACATCCTGAACATGCCTCTGCCAGGATTGACCTGCATGGGACCAACTATCTCACCTTTGAAGAGCTGGATACATTCTTGTTTGGCGCGCTATCTGCCGAAGACATGGAGACGCCTGGCAGTTAGCTCCAGACTCGTGTTTAGTGTGCTTTATTTTTGCAAGCTGCCTGTTGCCCCGTGCACCTCTGTGCAAAAGTGCCTGTGAATTCAATAATGCTGTGTTTCGTTGTCTGTTGCATGTTCACGTGATTGAAATTGTGTATACTGTCTCCGGCCGACTTAGTTCCACACGTAAGTAACCAGTCTGAGTACATATTGCGACAGTATGATTTTGCGATGGTCATGTTTCACACATGCCTTATATGCAGTAGTTTTGCAACTAGGTCTCTGCTGTCCATATTCTACGGGCGGTTCGCACCTGCAGAGCTCGTGTGTTCACCAGACACGGCATGAAGTCTTAATGTAAAGACCCTAAGCCCTAAAAGCCCTAAACCCTAAAAGCCCTAAAGCCTAAACCCTAAAAGCCCTAAACCCAAAGCCCTAAAGCCTAAAAGCAACCTCTCACCAGGGGCGCCAGGAGGCACCTGGGTGGAGGATAGGCAAGGCACGAC